GCCTGCTGCTCCCCTCTCCGCCCGCAGTCCGGTCTCACGTTTGCTTATGGATCTGTTTATTGGGTGGTGTTGTTCATAACAGTGTCCAGTTCCCAGGGTTCAGTTCTACAACCCATCGTCTGTACATTGTGGTGTGTTCACCACCCACGTCTCATCCCCCGCCATCACCATTCGCCCCCCTCGCACTCCCCCCTCGCCCGTTCCTCTGCCCGTTGTTGCCTGTGGAGCTCCGGGTAGCTCTTTGCTGACTCCCTTCGCTCTCTCACCCCCAGCGCCCTCCCCACAGCTGCCAGGCTGTTCTGCTTCTCGGAGTCTGGGTCTGCTTTGTTGGGTGGTTGATTTTGCTCACTGGCTCCCACATTTGTGACTGGCAGTTTCAGCGTCCTCAGTCTGCTTCTGCGGACGGGCTTTTACCCGGCAGCCCTGACTCCCACGGTTTGCTCGGCTCCCAGGCGGTGCCCGCAGGCGTGGGGCGGGCGGTGCGGGAGCCCCTAACCTGCCCTCTGCCCGCAGACTGCCCCTTCGGCACCTTCGGGATGGACTGCAGGGAGACCTGCCGCTGTCCGCTGGGCGTGTGCGACAGGGTGACCGGCCGGTGTCTGCAGCACCTCTTCCTCCAACAGGCGGCCGCCAGGTCCTCCGACAGAGGCGCTCCCCGAGCAGGTGAGCCTGGGGCCGGGGACGCGGGCGGGCGTTGCACTGAGGGTCAGTGTTACCGAGGGGGAGTGGGTTGCTGCTTGCTGCTGTTTTTTTTTTAAAAAAGATCTTATTAATAATTTAGAAGATTATATAATTTCTCATAAAGTTTACCCAGCTTTTATGGAGGATAAACAAGATCAATGACACCCCCCAAAAAACACGCCCCAAAACACACCTGTAATAAAAAGAAAAACCAACCAAAACGTGCTTTCTGTGCTCCCTCTCGGCTCTTAGACCGTATCTCCTGACTTCCTGAGTCCTTGTACGGAGGCTGGGAGGAGCGGCTTTGTCTAGCAGAGTGCTCGGCAAACTGTGGCTCGGCAAACTGCGAGCCGCATGCGGCTCTTTGGCCCCTTGAGTGTGGCTCTTCCACAAATACCACGTGCGGGCGCACACGTACAGTGCAATTGAAACTTCGTGGCCCGTGCGCAGAAGTCGGTATTTTGTGGAAGAGCCACACTCAAGGGGCCAAAGAGCCGCATGCGGCTCGCAGTTTGCCGAGCCACAGTTTGCCGAGCACTCTGCTAGACAAAGCCGCTCCTCCCAGCCTCCGTACAAGGACTCAGGAAGTCAGGAGATACGGTCTAAGAGCCGAGAGGGAGCACAGAAAGCACGTTTTGGCCAAATGGAAGCATTTGGTGGCGTAATTCCAAGCGTGTTTTCTGTGGCCTCGGAGAGGAGCAGAGAGGCGTCTGTGGCTGGAACTTGGGGATCAGTCCTCACAGGCCGCTCGCCAGCCCACGGCGTCTCTTACCGGGTCGTGGGAACACAGCCTGGTCCGCGCCCCGCACAGCTTGGCTTTCTTGTTGAATAAATGTCCGGTCCAGTCCAGCTTCGATGGAAAGTAGCTCATTTAAAACGACATGTAGCCACAGAACTAGTATCAGTAAACCACACCCCCCACCCCTTGTATTTCAATACTTGACAATCCAAAGCCACTTTATTTAGGGTTTTTTCCCCGGCCCTTTGCAACTCAAATGAATTAAGATTAGAAATCGCTGGCAAATGGGCCATTCCCCAGCTCCCCCTCCTTACACATGGGTGCAATTCAGCGCCTTACGATTAAGGGAAAATAATGAGCTTTTACACGAATGACTATTGTAAGTATGGCTATGCCCTTAAATATTAGTTTAAAATAAAAACCCTTCTTAACCTATTTGCTGAGTAACGGTGTGACTGACTATTTGATGTGGAAATTTAGATCATTATTAATGTTTCAGCTACTTGTGAATTGTCCCCATGGTCCTTGAAAAGCAAAAAGGAAATTAAGACCTACATTTTTTGTGTGTGTTGAGGTGGTGTTCACATCACATAAATTAACCGTTTTAAAGTGATGAGTTCCGTGGCATTTGGTGTATTCACGACGCCGAGTGGCCACCACCTCGAAATGGTCCCAGGACATTGTTCTCAGCCCCCAATAAAACCCCAGGCCCCAGCCCTGCCCGCCCCCCCACCCCGGTTCCTCACCTCCTCCACCCGCAGCCACGGCTCTGCGCCCGAGAGGGGGTTTGGAAGGTCTGATGCGTTTACTGCGGGGCTCGCACCCGCTGTGTGCGGCTCGCTGCCGAGCGCTTGGCTGTTTATCTATTTGCTTTCTGAAAACCAGAGGCCAGAGAACCGAGGACACAGCATCACACCCCTCTGCATCATGTAAGGTCGCACCTAAGCTTTTCCACCGAGAGAAACGAACCCCTCGGGAGCCTCCGTGGTCGGGGATGGGCGTGGGGGATGCCGACGAGGGGCC